ACTGAGGAATGCGCGTGATTGATTGTATCAATTTTATTTAAACTGTATAATCCTTTTCAACCGGCGAGTACCATTTCAAATTTATTCTTTTTCAGATGTTATTACAATATTGAACAATGATGCTCTTTTATCATAAAAACAAAGTAAATTGAAATGTCCGATTTTCTATGAAATCGTACACTTTTAGTCGTGCCATGCCACAACGAATGAGTCACGGAATTTTTTATTGGTGTTATTTTCTGATCACTAATATTTTCGATTACTTACACCTTTGCAGTCGATTGTTGCCGTAATGGTGACTTTGAGGTTTCGTATCTGAAATTGAAAGTTGGAAATGAACCATTTCATTATTCAATTATCGAGAGATTGATATTCGGTTTTCTTCTTTTGTAGTATGTCCGACTGCGATATATTTTCAGTTTTTTATAGAATGACATTTTGAAAGTTTAAGAACTGCTTGTCTGCAATGGGTTAATTTTCTGTTTGTCGATACGATTACACGATTAAACTGGAATTTTATTTTTCGTTAAATTAAATTGGAAATATCTTACGAAAATTTACTTTCTGATACTAAATTTCTCTTTTGTATGATTATTCTTGTTTGATAGTTTCGCACAATAATTTACTTAAACGTTATACACGCAAGTCGGAGTGAATTTTGAACAAAAATATTTTCATGCTTCTCATAAAAATTTCCGCATCGGCCGTTTGACAGGTCTGACGTATAAGTATCTGACGTTGCTTCCGGAATCAGTTTCGCGTTGAAAATGAACTGGATAAAATCGACTGCCGCGGAAAATAGTGGAGCGTTATCAGCGACAGGTCTTATCGAGACGTCGTAAGACAGGCTCCATCGGTTCTGTTCGTTGGAATCAATATACAGCAGCCAGAGTACTGTGTAGCAGCACGTTTCAGCTGTACCGAATGATACTTCTGTTATGCTGTACAAAACGAAATTCGAAAGAATAGACAATTTTTAAATCGACTATCCGCGATAAAAATTGTGATAATGATAAAAATGATCTGTGATAACGATTCAAATTGCTTGATATTATGATCCTAAAATTATTAATTCTCTCAACTGATTATGGATTTATGGTTTCGATTAACGAACTTGAAGAGGATCCATTAAATTAATGAAACGTCGGTTTCAGCCTTCACTATAACAAAAAGTTGATAATTATAATTAAAATTTACAATTCACAATAATGTAGAAATGTTGAAATTCCAATATTATCATTAAATCAATTTTCCTTTAAACTTTATAACATTTCGACCAACGGGTACCATTTCAAATTTATTCTTTTCCAGATATTATTATAATAATGAACGACGATACTTTTGTCTCGTAAAAATAAAGGTGATTCGAAATATCCGATTGTTTCATGAAATTGTAAATTTGAAATTGTATTATTACCGCAACAAATGAGCAACATTTGAAAGAACGACCAGCAGAATAACCGATGTATCGAGGTGCCATTTTGTACGTTTTACGAATCGTGTAATTCTCTCGTATTCCGTCGAATTGATAAAATCTCCGAGCAGAAAGGCGTTATATAGGAATGCAATTTTCCATAGAAAAGGCCGTTGAAAAAAAGGCGGTGTCTCTTTTATTTTTCATTGTTTTGCCTACCTTTTTCCCTTCATCTTTGTTCTCAAAGTGTTCTCCATTCTCGAGGCAGCGGCTCTCGATTGAGTGGCACTCTATAGGACACCCCTTGAAAGTTCCGCGCTATTGATTATCGCTGGAATTCGATAGCCACGCTATGACTTTTCCGGACTAGTACCACGTGGTTTCAATGCTTTCGCTCTATATTCGACGTATAATGAGTCTTTGGCTCGCACTGCACACTTCTGGGGCTAAGCGTTTCAGGGTTTTTCCGAGTAAATTCGTCAAAGCGAGTAAAATCTTCTTACCGAAATGGAAATGAATTTTTAACCCTTCGCGAACGATTCACGAACGACTCAAGTATATTGTACCTATACGCTTATGTAATTTTAAAGCTCCATTTCACGAAAGAGAGATTACCAGTAATCCTAAAAATAATCCTGTTATCAATCTTCAATCTTTACCTGACCCTCCACAACTTATTTCAACGAACATTGTTCAATAATTTCGTTTCGTTGAAAATATTGTTGTTCCTGAAGCTTCAATAATTAAATATTATTATCTTAAAACACTATAATTTATACCAAAAACACTATATTTTAAACCAAAATACCGTCCCAGAAACAACCCTGTCATCAATCTTTAATCTTCACCTGATCATCCCCAAGTTATCTCAACGAACGCCATTCAAGAATTTCGTTTTGTGGGAAACATCATTCTTCCGGAAGTGTTCCCTCCGTCGTTCCACTTCCGCGTATATTCCGCACGAAAATTCGGCGGGTGACTCCGTAAAACCGCTACATACATCGTTAGCGGTGTGTGCGGCGCGGCGGCAACGGTTGTTATTCCGTACACATTGTTTTCCAGATCAGCGGGCACGATGGGAACTCGAGAAACACGCACGGGAGTACAGTTGCGAGATAACTTGATGTCTAGCAGGACAGCACACGAGCAACACCGTACTCCGCTGTTTATAGGTTTCTTTTATAGTTTAATTTTATTTGTAGTTTCCCTTGGTCACGTATCATAGAATTGATGAATAACAAATTAGCATTACACAACAAATGAGAACTGACCGGTAGATCTACATTCCAGAGGCGTCTATATACTCAAGTTACTCCTCTCACGGTAGTAACTCAAAAACACCGTTTCCCCGCTATTTCTACTTTAACAGCTATCCGAGACTGTATCGCGGAAACGATGGTCGCAAATGAAACAGAATACGCGAAAGATACACATAAGAAGTCCACGCTCATGTTCTTTCCCTATCTACAGTCCGCCTCTCGCGTTAGTTCCATCCGCCATAGCTTTAAAAGTGCACGGGGGCAAGGGGATTCTTCCACTCACGACGCTTGGCTTCCGACGCATTGTCATTATTGGCCCGCGCCGAGGCCCGAGTGTCGTGAGTGAAAGAGTCCCCTTGTCCCCGTGCACTTTTAACCCTTTGCGGGCGAATGTCGGCACTTTGGGGAGATGAAATTTTTATATTTGGAATACTAAGTCGCAGACGAATGATTTAGTTAGTCAAACAGCAGGAGATCGGTAGGTAGTTCCACTTCTTCTATTGTTTAAGCAATTGATATATAATTTAACTTAATCTGTTGAAAATTTTGTATATTTCAAAGAATCTTCGTCCACAAAGAGTTAAACCTAAAACTGACGGCCATAATGTGAGAGGAGTATAGTATTTACACGAAAAGTTTCATAATTTTTTGAATTTCCTTGTAAGTGTCGAACTCGACGACTTCAACATCTCTTTCTTTTCTATTCGCAGTTTTCTTCTACATCCGAAACTTCAATGACTTATGAAGCAAACAATTATGATTGTAATACTATCGTTGTGTAGTGTCATTTTAGTCAGAAAAACGTGACAAAGATGACGATGAAAATCGAAAATAAAAAAGTTTGATTTTTAAATTAAAGGTCTCAAGCTCATCACGAGCTTTTAGTGTTGCCAAACGCTGTGGCTGTCATTCTTTTTCTTTCACTTGCATTGTCCTTTCCTATGTTCGTCATGCTAAAATCTTCGCTTCTCGGGGTGCATCCGATTCTACCTGTTCATAATTGCAATCTTCCGGTCCCGTTGAGAGTTGCAATTATCCAATGTTCACTGTACAGATGATTTTCTCGTGTGACGCGATGTTCCCCGCGACAAACGCGCGGAATACCCCGTTCAATCGAGCACCGCGGACACGCAGTCGTTTATCAACTTTTTGATGCCATCGATCCGGAGTCAATGTTGCATGCGGCTGAACGCATTACGTATTTAAATGCGGAGCGCAACGCGATATGCACATCACACTAGGCTTTTGTGCAACAATTTGTGACTCGTGAACGGGGACGCCGCGCCGCATTAAAATGCCTTTAGAAATATTTTACAGAACCGCGTGCTGTGCCGTACACGGTGCGTCACGTTAAGAGCCCCTGGACTTACAAAGATTTCAATAATTCAACGTGTCCCCGGGAGCTAGGGTCAAAGAGGAATTTGCTTATCCGGATAAGTAGCCTCGCGTAGGTTTCGTAGATTTCGTAGAGTTTAATTGGACCAAAGTTGACGTACGATCAAGAAAAAGAGCTTGATATTATCCCACACTGAAATATGTACAAAATCTTTTTATTAAATTCATTTGTCCATTGTGATTTCGTGCGAAAGAATATGTAACTGAAAGCGAGGGGTAGAAAACGTTTTTGTGCACGCTGCAAATTTATTTAGAATTGTTGCGTTTATAGTAATCGACACTGTGATTCAATGAACTTCTAATGAATATTTTTCTTGCGATATTAAATGATAAAAATTGATACTATTAAAATATTAGATAATCAAATTATATATTTTTAACAGTAGTAAATAACAAAAATAAATATATTTAACAATAGTAAATAAGAAACATGAATATTTTTCACAATATTCAATAAGAAAATGAAATATTGTTAACGATCGTTTCATGGAACGTTCATGCGAAAACGAACTGAATGTCGAAATAATTATAATGGGTGAAGTACGATTAGCAAATGAATAAATATAAATAATAAATAAATATACAACTGAATAGGTGCACCAGCGATATTGATACAGTTCAAACAGGTGTGAATCTGTTTTGCGCAGGTATGGGGAGCGTCGTAGGCAGCAACGTGAACGTAAGCAACGTAACGACGAGGAGGATGGACTCGACGACGTTCCTGCCAGAAGCGACGCCGACCCTCAGCGAGCGGGAGCAACTCAAAATTGAATTCTACAAAACATACGACGTTATGACCGGGGTCAGAATCGCGGCGACTCTCGGTGGTTTTTTCGGTCTTATGATCCTTCTGCTTGTTTACAAAAGCAGGCGAGTTTCCGTTCTACTTTTTCAACTCTTCACGGACAACAACCCTCCGCTTTTTAGTCTCTCGAGAATATTTTCGCTAATGAAGCAACTGTGCCAGTTGGTCTATACCTTTGCGAGAACTCTCCTATACAGGGTGTTCGCCAGCAAATAGTTTTGTCCATTCAGGGGATGAATATTCCGTTCCGTTTTATCGTAGGATTATATCATTTTTTAGCACTGGGTAACCACCATACTCAAAACGACGGGTTTCACTTTTCTTATTTTAATTATTAGTATTTTCAAAGTACTCGGTATTCAAAATGATTTCGAAAATAAATAGTTTCACTTAAATATTATGACGAGTATCTGAAGAAACCGAAAGAAAATATATCACAATCTTTATAAGGGCTACATATCATCCCGAATAAACGCTCCACGGTTCTAATACAAAATGTCTTTCATTGTTTTCGTATGCTTACAATTTACGAGAGAAATCGCTGGTTGGTAATAATACGAACGCCCTGTGTAGTGGAATCATTCGCGTGTAGAGGAACATTATATTGAAAGGAGAGTGTATGTGGTGCAGGTGTAAATCGAACAAGCATTTAGAGGATCCAAGACTGACCGCAGCAGCGGCCGCAGCGGTAGCTGAAGCAGAGGCGGAGGAGAGAGCACTCGCAGCCGCCCTCGAGGCCATCGCTAGACTACCACCGAGACCAGATCGAGGTCCTAGGCGGTCCCTTTGCGTCGAGGTCAGTTTAAAAAATGATGTTCCAAAGCAACCCTTGAAACTAAAGGATCCTTGATTTTCCAAATTCAAAGCTAACATCCGAATTTCATAGCCTGAACTAGTCTTTAACCCCTTCAGACCTGATTTTTCTGCAAAATTCTGTTCGCGTACCTAACAACAAAGGACGGCCATTCGATGCACCATTAGCACTAGATTTTCGACACCCGTCAATTTGACGGATATTGAATTTTTTAAACATTATTTAACAACAATTTCAGTCGAGTGCAATACTCTTGTTTTGAAGCTACAATTTTCGCGATTTATACAGACGAACACGTAGTTTTCTAGGAACAATAGAATAAAGTGTAGAATGAACGCCCATATATCTAGTGTTAGCAATAACGTAATATCGAATAAAGTGGTGTTGATATGCTACTTTTCTAACAGAAGTAGTTACAGAAGGTAAAGGTGTATATGTGGTTTCCTATGTTTTAATACTCTGTCAGACATTTCAATAGTAAAGCAGTCTACATTATAATATGCATCAGCTCTGAAGGGGGTAACTAAGAATACTTTCTCCAACCCGAGGATTTATACATTAGAACCTGTATCTCGATAAATCCTCGACTCTATTGTCCCATCAGTGTTGAATTGGTAGCACTGAATCTCTGGTGTTCCTCAAAGCTAGAGAATCTTCATTTGTCTTTTATAATATCTAGATCCAATAACCGAGGAGTTAGATTAGAGGAAGTTAGGATGACCATTCTAATTGTTTGTTGCAGTTGAGTCAATCACACTCCCCAAGGATCGGTCCGCGTTTCGCATCAGTCGGGGGTGGCTACGAGGCTCTTTTAATGGCGCCAACGAAGCAGCCGAACTTAGCACCTCCCGAGGAACAGAGAAGATGCAGTTCGGTAACCTGTAGCAGCACCGGAAGTAGCTATCTCGAGAGGAGAGGATCTGCGATGCCGGTGCCGTGTCTGCCGCTTCATCCTACCTACGTGACGAAACACGCTGCCCACGACGAACCCTGGGACCTTTATTATCCCATTGACATTCAGGTAGATTGCTGATTTTAACCCGTTGCGAACGGATGTCGACATTTTGACGAGATCAGATGTTCATATTTGAAACACTGAATTGCAAACTAATGATTCGATTACCCAAACAGCAAGAAATCAGCACATAGTTTCCTTTTCCTTTAATTTAACGCATTCGCTACCAGCGTTTTTTTGTAATTTTATTCAATCCAAGAAATTTTTTAAACGATGTATTAAAAAAGTGGAACCAAAACGAGTTATTGAGTTAATTAATTGTATACTTTAAAGAATCTTCGTCCGTAAAGGGTTGAACACCAACCAAAATCGAATGGGACGAGAGACACTTGACGTAACGTGAGATAAATGCAAATGCAATTGCGTAGATTATGCTTATGAAGTTTCTTATAAAAATTTTTATTATTTTTATATTCCAATAAGAGGGTAGGAGCTCATGAAAATCACAGTTTTAACGCTAACGGAAAGTTTATTAACACGAGGTTTGTGGAACGCGTCAATTTGACGCACATTAAATTACACAAATACGTGTCCTACATCCAACATTTCCAAAATAAAGAGCCTCACTCCAATTAATGACACCCATGCTAAACACGCGCTCCGAAACACTTTCATTTTAAGAAAAATCCTACAGAATGCACATATAATCACGCTTAACACCAGCACAGTGTTCTTCTGTAGAAACACTAATTATATGAAAAACAATTCTCGAACAGGTAATCCAACCAACCCCAGAGCTTTCTCCATGCACAAGCGAGGCACGTCTTTATGCAAACGAATTTTTGCTCACTGGACCTGCTGGTAAAAGAGCGCCACTGGCTTCCATGGGCAGTGTCGATCCTCCGGAACCAGACTCAAGGTACATGACCGCCATCAAACGTAAAACATCTGATTCAATCGGCAACCACGTTGGAAACGAAAAACCACACGAACACTAACCGTACCGGGAACCGGTCAAATAACCAGATTTAAAATTCTACGTTTTCTTCCGTTGATTTAACTTCATATCAATTCTTATAATATCCGATTAATCGGTTTTTGTCTTTTCCTTTCCTTCTGTTCCCACTAACAAGAATGTGTCATATAATTTGTTCATCTTCCCTTTGTAACCGATTTGACTGATTGTCGTAGTAAAAGTGCCGGTACGGTTAGTGTTAAAGAATTATTTATCGGAATGATAAACTTACAATGTGAATCCTAGTTTGTACTCTGACATTAATGAGCCTGGTCGCAATTGCAAAGGTCGTTGGGTTCCGACTCAGTCTTCCTGAGAAACGATGAACAAGAAGAAGAGTGTCTCGACACGGAGGACGAGGTGTCCGGGTTCTCGACCGACTCGGAAGCACCTGGGCCCAGTGGTCGACGGTTCCTTCGAGTTCCTTCGAGAAAGAAGGAGATCGTCGAGAAGTGGGACGGCTGTGCTGGCTGCGTGCCTAGGCGACGACCTGGAGGAAAACAGTGCCAGGCTTGTCGTAGCATCAGCGCGGCTGTTGAATTTTCTAGGTATCGATGTTTTATTTCAATCTGCTAAACACGTGATCGGTCAAATCTTCCGGGTGTCGGCCATGTCGATTAGGAATTTATTTCCCGACGTTCTGCTAGCACCGCAGCTGGCATTCATCAGTGAGACCCTCAAACTTCGATTATACGCTTCACTAATCACTTCATTCGTACGATCCAGTCGCTCGGTTCCAAACATTCTTCCTTCACGCCTCTTTAGCCACTCAAGATCATTTTGTCCGCAGTTATACGTTACTTGCACATACCGCCGCAAGACACCAGCCTCACGCCCAAACAGTCGTTTACTCATATCTTAACACATTGTTGACACACAATTTTACGCAGAAGCTTTCCCATGTTACCAGATATTATTCCGTAATTAAATATGAAACAATCTAAATAAACCTCAATATACTTTATACATAATGTATTGTAATGAAACTTTGGACGTATATTTTATATAACTTTAAATATTTTGCTTTTGCAGTATTATTCTATAATGCCCTGCGTTTCAAAAACTGAAATAACTGATACAACTGCAAACACGAGTTAAGTTGTGAACGGTCAACAATGTGTTAAGAAACTAAAGCTTACAATATACTTCGACTGATCGACAGACCATTTTGACTGCGAGTGGCCGTCGCTTTCGTTGCAGCGCGTTTCCTGTCCCCACATACATAGCGTAGAAGATGTATAGTTCGCGCAGAGAAGTGATCAGAATTCCGGAACGTTGTTATTGACGTGCCGATAGGTCTCAGACAGTGTCCACGAGCACCAGCAGCCAAAGCAGCATCGGTTCTCCGCCATGTTCACCAGCCATCGAGCTCAGGCATAGACCGCCGCCGGCGCCATTACCGTCGAATCCACCCGCCTGGTCCCAGGAAACGTTATTTTAGTTACACGAAAGCTCAGCGGGGAAGTTTTTCGTGGACGGGCCAGTAATCGCACAAAAACAAAAAGAAGAAAAAAAACACACAAACAAAAAAGTAAAGCAAGTCAACCCTTTCGAAGGCAAGACGAGGGACAATCGACAGAACTCACGAACGAGTGGTAAATCTGTAAATTTTACGATGGTTCGTAGTTATTAATTGTACTTTAAAACGAAGAAGAAAAAAAAATAGAAAAAGAAAGGGGGAGAAAAGGCTACGCAGAAAAATATGTAAGTAAAACTATTAGAAGAGATGAAAATTTCAAGTCGGTGTCGTTGATGTTATTATTCTAACGAGAAGAAATTAATCGTGGAAAGATGATAAGTGCAGGGGATGAGAAAGGAAGCTGGAATGGGGTGTAGAAAGCAAACTTTTGTTAAAACGAATGCTTGTCTGGGAATGAAAAAGGATTCATGAAGAATAGAAGAAGGAAATGCTAAAAGAAAAATTCGAAGATTGAAGCTGTTAACAAACGAACAATAGAATTAATGTTTCAGATTGAAGAAGATAAAGTGGATGTGGAAAGAGGGCCATAATTAGCTGTAGAAAATGATAGAAGAAAATTATTCGGGAATCGAAAAACTAGAAGAAATTGAGGCCACTTCTTATTGGAACTACAAAAAGAAGAAAAGTAAAATGTTCAACTGAGAAAGAGTTTACAGAAGAGGATGGCATCGAAGGGCAATGCGTCTGAGCGGAAAGTGGGGCAAGAAGATAACAGAAATGCCAAACTGTTTGTATAGTAACTTCTAAGGTATAAAAGAGGCAGAGGAACTAAGATCTAACAGACTAAAAGTAATCGTTGAAACGAACTACTGTAAAAAAGAGGAAGAAAACGGTAGCGTTCGATAGTTATACTGTAAATAAAAAAAGAAAAAAAGTGCAGAATGAACAGAAAACTCGAATTCCTTTTTTTTTCTTACTCGAAACAAAAATGAGGTGAGGCATACGTGTTACGTTTGTATCGCGTTAGAAAAAGAAAATGATAATGATGGTGATGATGATGGTGCTGCTGCTGCTGATGATGATGATGATAACGATGAAGAAGATGAAGATGAAAATGAAGATGAAGATGAAGATGAAGATGAAGATGAAGATGAAGATGAAGATGAAGATGAAGATGAAGATGAAGATGAAGATGAAGATAAAGGAAAGAGAAAACCAAAAAATGAAATCAAAACTTCGTAAAAGACGTTGCTCTAGCTGTGCGTGTGTAAAGAAGCATGAGAAAAAAATAAGAAGAAAGAAACACTTCGACTTCACGTTATCCATGTCTTTTTTTTGTACTCTGATGTATCTGTGTATGTACGTATGATATGCGCAATTAAAAAGTAAAATTAGATTAACCCAGTCGGAAATTTCAAGACGATACTTTCTGAGTGGACTGCGGATATTATACATTTATACTGGAACAGAAGCAGGAATAAGGATGTAACCCCTTGTCTTGTAATAACGTGTCGGGCTTGTGACTGAGATTTTAAATGGAATTCAAGTTAAACAATTATTCTTCTGTTATATCAATTATGATACTTTAGAGCAAACGTGAACATCGAATATGTCTAGAATTTTTCTCATATTCCAATAAATTTATTAATTGCAAAATTTTGTTGGGGATTTTGTTAATTTGTTAATAAAATATAATGGTTATTAACATTAGATTTACAGACATTTATTGCACAGTTTACTGTTTCCAAGAAAATTATTGTTCTTTCGTGTAGATCTTGGAAATTAGAAGTTCGAAAATCGACGATTAGGAAGTACGTATATTACTGCAATCGCATCGATCAAACTAAACGTAAACATTTACCAAATAATGTTTATTAAACGGAATGTGCGTCAAATTGACGCGTCCCAGTATTAACGGGAAAGTACGCAGTCTTATGGATCATAATTGAGAAATAAATTGCAAGGCAAGGGGTTAAAGAAGTTTCATCGTAGACCTTCATTTTTGTTTCGTCCGATGAAAACACGTTTGTTTTCGATTTTCACGTTCGAAAGGGAAATTCGAATTTGTACGAACATCCGCAGTCTACGTGCGAGAATCGTCGGATTCGTTATTTTCGGTGTTTGACGGATATTATTTTTTATTCGAATAGCAATTACAGACTGCGGGCGTTTACGCAAATTTCCACTTTTATAGGCAAATTTAGGGGGAAAATTGAGATCGAATAGAACGATGCGTACAGTCAGCGGACGAAAGTAATCGAACAGCATGGTAAGAAACAATTAAAAAATTGTTGAAATCATGAAAATAATTCATTAAAACAGTAATGATATACCGTGTATTGCTATTTACTGAGACAAGTTGCATTTGTGATGTATATGCGTGCAACAAGTGTACGTAAAATTGAACGAAATATTTGGCAATACACGAACAAATTATAAAACATTTATTGTATCTAAGCGTGCGCGACGATCGAACACTTTTGTTGCCGACTGTACATGTATTTCGTCTTGTGATATTTATATTCCGTTGCATTTCGAACGTTTTCGTGAGCCGGATGAACCGCAGTCTGATCATTCAGTTGTGCAATACAAGAGGGTTCATTACGTTTCCAATTAGAAAGATATCGAAATTCATTTCCACGACGGATCTCGCTTCGTTAGCTCGAAGGTAAATTCAGTCCTCTTCTAAGTCTAATTGAAACGAATCAAAAGAGAACAGTCTAATTAATGTCTCCGAGGTTTCTGTCTAGTTTGATTAATTCTTAACTGTCGTCTCGTGCTTAGTTGATCGATTAATTAATGACGCTTTGATGACTGCCAACCGGGAAGCAGAAATCCTTTGTGTACCCACGTGCATGTGGCTCGTGGTGGATGGTGAACGCGTGGCTGAGTGTGTAGGTGTGTGTATACCGGGGTGTGCACGCGTTCGTGCATAGAAAACTAGAGATCGAAACCAAATATTTACATAGAGTTGAGAATTTTTCCGTTAATCGGGTCGCGTTCACGATTTTCATCTCTGTTTAAATGGTTTGAGTCTTGTTGCCATTCTCGTCTTCGTTATATGCAACGTTAACTGGGCATCGAATAATTATTTATTAATAATTATTACTTGAAATAATTCTTTAATAATAATTATTAGTTGAAATAATGGTTCTGTAATAGTTATTCATTAAGAATTATTAATCATGAATAAATTCTAAAACAAAATTTATCAATCATTAATAATTCTTAATTACAAATGAGATATAACTTTTTTCAACGATTGTACGAAATTGATATTTTCAATTGTTTCGTCTTCTACTTCTACATTAAAAATGAACCAACAGTACCAATCATTCTCATATCAAACAGAAGATAAATTTGACAATGCATATCACAGACTTTCACTAGTACAGTGCTTAACCATTTGCCCTATGATACCATGGAAAACTCTCAATTTTACAAATCTAAACGTTATTTACTTCTTTGGAATATAAATTAAATATTACTTTTCTGTTACCCGATTGTTAACCGTTGGAGTAAACGTAAACACATAATAAGTGTCAAATTCCTTTTTTCCTCTAATCAAGTATACGTTACTTTATTAAATTTTCCAAGCTTTATTAAATGAATTTTCACAGTTGTGAAAGAAATCATAGGACAAAGTGTTAATTACATTTTACACCCTAGAAATTTTCATTCTAATTAATGAACGTTATTCAAGATTCCCGATGAATATCGTAGACGACCGTGAACGCGAGCCCGATTACACGTTCAACAATCACGTTACAACGCGAGACAACTTCTCTCGGTGCCTTTCCGCCGGATCTTCTTCCATTACCATTTAGATAAAGTAATCGCTGCAGGGATTTAAACGTGACGTGAACAAAATCGGCGTGGCAACGTCCCGATGTTGTCCATCGAACGGTTACAATGACGATAATCATGATCAGTATACACAGTGATCATTATTGTCATCGTGGTTATAACGAGATCGAAACTGTATGGGGAAAACGCCTAGTCGTCGCGGGGAACGATGTGTATCGTCTACGGGGAACCAGCGAAATGGAAAACACCGTTCGAACGTAACAAGAGGAAGTGACAAAGCGAAAACAATAAAAGAAGCAATAGAAGTCGCGTGTAAAAAGAAATTAGAGACGAAGAGTAAACGAAAAAGAAAAGAAAAAGAAAAAGAAGAAGAAGAAGAAGGAACGTAAGAAATAAACGATTAGACGACGAGAACAATAATGAGCGAGAGACACAGACGATTATGATTACGATGACGGTCACGATCGTGAAAGGAGCTCCATCAATCTTTCGTAATTATCGAGACAAATCTTTCCTGATGTACGAACAATAAAACTTTCACCGTTTCCTACTATCATTTTCTTTCGTGACGCCTTCCTCTGGTAAAGCTTTACTTTCCCGGAAGTCAATGGTCGTCCGTTTGCAAGCTGGTCCCTTTTCACCGTTCATTCTTCTAGTCAAGCTACGGTCTTCGGATCTCCAGCGATGTCTCGTGAAAAGGTAACGACGCAGTGGGACGATAAGCTCGGCGTAATTGTAATTATTTAGAAATCAGCATTCAGCATTCAGACAATTTCTGAACTGTTTGTCGTGTAGTAACTCTAGATTAAGGTTTCTAGATTAATTTAATAAAAATCAATGTTCACTGTGTATGAATCGAAGCAAATGATTAGGTATTTTGTTATTATCAATTTATTATCTTCGAAGTGGATACGCGTTGAATGATAAATTTCTGTGTTCCTTCCAAATTGTTGATAGCAACAGTTACATGAGCTTAGTAATTAAGGGTTATAGCAATTTTCATTAATCAAATTTGCATTATCTTATATTAGACTTCTACAAATGGAATTAACACGTCGACTGCCATGAAAAACTCGACCATTTCATGTATCACTTATTCTTTCGTAACAGAGGTAAAAAGGAACAATTATAAAAATTACTTGGCACTACAATTCTTACGTTACACTATTATCTAATTGTTTACTCTATTGAACATTTTTATTCGACGCCAGTTATCTTACAAAGTACAATTGTTTTCAAATAATTTGGAAGCTCTGGTCATCGCTGACCACCACGCCAGGCAACGTGTTAATTATAACTTTCAGTTTAATTAGAATTAAATACCATTCTATAAAGAAATCATAAAATATTTTATATTTTTCGACAATGGACACATTATTGTCGTACTTTTTTTGATAGCCAGATATAAATCTTCTTTCATAGTTCTTCCGAGCTGATTGTCTCGCTACGTCGTCATCTTCAGGTGTACGCAGCAATGATTTCAGTGCCACGTGACCCTGATGCGAACAGAATTTGCTTTGCAGTGAAATGTTAATGTTTCTAAGAAAGTTTGTAAAACGTTTCGAACGAAATGAATTCGATTAAGGTCTACAAAGATTTTTTATAGGGTTGGTCAGGCACCCAAAGTGTTAAAGACGTACAAAACTAGCTGAACAATCAACAGTTTACTCTTCCTCCAAAAAATCATGCTCCCATTTCTCCCATTTCAAATGTACTTATGTTTAACACTAACCGTACCGTCACCTTTGTGTACCCCTATTCCTACTGGCTAAGAAATAGTAATTAAAATAATACTTTTCGTTAGTAGAAATAGAAACAAAAGGAAGGACAAAAATTGAGAAACCAATTACCCCCTTAACCTCGGAATTTTCGCGCGAATTAATACTGCAACGTGAAGTTTTTCTCTGTGATTTTTTGCAATTTAACTTGCTGTAATTTAGCTCTCTTTTCCCTCGAGTTTATTGTTTTTTTACAACATAATTAATTTCGAATGACGCAATTAACAGCCAACTAGGAGAAAGATCACAGTTCAACGATTGTCGCGAAGATATACCGAGGAAAAAATTGAAATCACCATGTGTGAGTGATTAGAGCGGAAAAGTGAATTTTTGCGAACGCACCATATGGCGGCTAGCGTTAAGTGGTTAATCGGGCAATATAGGAATTGTTATAAAATTAAATGAACGAAAGAAAACGTAGAATTTTTAATGAAATTAAGAATTTTACTTCAAACCTGCGGTACGGTTAGCGTTAAGGAGGACAGAAAAAAATTGTCACTGACACACATGTTCATTCTTTGTCGCTGTGAACCGAGGCCCGTAGTCGCGACGTGAAGAAATATTTCAATAATCGATGGGGCATCTCGAGAATGATACACATTTTATCAGAAGTATCGATGTGAAATCTGCTATTTCTTCGATGAATTCGCGACGGATACGTGACAATGGTGTTTTCATAGTTTATAATAAAAGCAGAATTTTTATATCCTTCATTATACACTTTTCGTAATTTTTAATGTTCAATGATTGGAAGTGAATACTGGATAGAATTTTGGATAAACGATTTCTAAATAATTCATTGCATAACAATGTAGCTGTAGTGGTCGATACAAATGATTATATTATCAACCAGAAATTATAGAAACATTTGGTAATGTGATTGATAGAATTTCGCACGTGCACTTTGTTCTGTTCTGTTTCTTTTAAAGAAATATCGAATTCAATGGAAATTAGTGGATCACACATTGACACTGCGGTGTATGGTTGTCGAAGTACCAGCAGATATAACTATAACGATTGGACTGCGGATGTTTACGCAAATTCTCAGTTCTATAAAGTTTTGTAGGGAACAGAATAATAATCATACAAAGAATACCGATGAATTAATAGTTTTTTACACATTAAACTGTATGTTTTCTAACAGCTGCGTTGTTAATGATGTGACAATTAACTACTATTCTATTTTACCATATCGACAGTTTGTTTAAAACAATGCTCACTGTGACACATAGTGGTGCAATAGAATAGAAAAGTATATAACAAGGTTCGTATTTTTATTTTTAATTTGGCATTTAATGAATTAAAAATATCCACAGTTCAGGACTTTTTAACAAAGCGGGACTAAATAACGCAAAAAATACTAAATAAAATAAATAGCAATACGTTGCTAAAGGAAAAGTGGAAAATCTCCCCATTTGGTTGACTAACAATAAGTATTAACACATTCGCGATCAACGAATTTTTCGCTTATTTAATACTCATTGCCAGTAAAACAAAAATTCATAAACTAATCACTGCAAATTTCTGACGTTGAAACAGCGACAAAAATTCGAAAATTTCTTTTGAAATATTAGTCTTGTAACAATCGGTTGTTTGAATGATTTTACTTTTGAAAGGTCGTGAATCTTTTAATATTAAAATATGCATTACAAGTAACATCGTACAAGATTAAAACTCGCTTTGTTGTGATTTGCAGTTTCATCGGTTAATTTGTACTAGGTAGAACAGAATTTTGAGTAAAAATTGGAAAGTTTCAGGCGCAGATCAAAAACTTTTCGTTGAAGAAATCGCAAATAGAACATAACAGAAAAATAAACTATTTGAAAGTTATTATATTTAACGAGTTAAATTTCGTCAAACTTCCCGCACTCTCGTTTCGTATCTACATACTTGTACTTACTCGAACGCTATAATTGCGCAACCATCCGCAGCCTAATAAATATGAAAGTATTGTTTCCACTCTCATCCCACAAATGAACTCACTTATTGTCGCGGAGCGTTCCTCAAGAACATTGTACTTGACTTACACTGTTTATAACAAAACTCCCTACGATCTCCGAACCGAACAATTGTTTCTCGACGAACGAATAGTAGAACACTCGTTTCCTTCGCCGTATCTCTATTTTTTCAGATACCGAAATAAAAAAAAAATGTACGTGTTGAGCATAAAATGTTGAAACAATATCCTCCGTTGATTTTCATTTAACGCTTCTACCAGAGAAACGAACGATCGCCCTTGTATAAGTTGCAACCGTTCAATGATTCACGGATTTTCGAAAGAACGTATCTTATTTCTTGAAAATGGCGATAGATTGAAAGAAATTACCCGATAAAATTAAGTGATCCGTCGCAATAAAGGTCTATTAGGAAATTGTTATTTCGATCGGTAACTAGCTGATAGTCCGTTAACAATTCTACTAGATTAAACCACAAGTTCAATTTCGAAAGATTAAATGAAATTGATCTCTGAAAAGTCGGTTACAATCACATTAATGAAATACTCTGTATACTTGTTTGTTCGTTCATTGTTTACAATACGTTATTTCGGAATTCTCTGTACCCAGTGTTTGCCCTGCAACGAATTATTGAATAATCCGACCAGGCGCATTTGTTTCACGATGAAACTCAATCATATCGGACAGTCGAAAAAACCTCTATCAAACAATTTTCATGCAGGAAACGCCAGAAATAACACTGTTAAACCCTCTCGTTTTTATTATAACTTTCCTCGTGTGTGTTGTCACACCGATACACTGGATTTTAAATTCGGCCGCTTGGATTCTCATTCCGTTCTCCTCTTTTTTCATCTACCGATGACTACAAAGGCGGACTCGAAAACGGTATCTACTATTCTTAAGATGTTCCATCACTCGGAATCGCATTGGGACAATTCTTGTTTCTTTTTTCGTATATAGTACCTAATTCCTGGGAGAAATTCTTAATACCAGGATTAATCACATTAAAAATTAGTTACTTGTGACGCTGGGGTATTTTATGTACTTGTGTGTAGTTTTCGTGGTTTTCGCTGACAGAAAGAAGTTTTAAAAATCGGTAAGCGTGGGACAATTCGAGGAAGATTACTGAATAGTGTAGCTCCCATGTTTATAAAAACAGACGGTAGATTTGAAAGTGCAGAAGGCTAAGGGGAGACGTACAACTCGCGACGCTTGGACCGGAAGTTACCGCAACGATGACGCCTCAGTTTCGGCACGTCTTCGTTAGTGGTCGAGTCGTGTGACGATAAAGCAGATGGAACGGAACGGGACAAAGCGAGATGTAGCGAACATTGACGTCGAATTTGCTTCTACACGGCTACTATGTTTCCTGGAATGTCCGAGGTGGAGCTCGTGACCGATTCCCTTTGCCCCTCTGCACTTTTAAACTCAAGGTTACTGCTATAAACGTGGAAGCTACGCTATAGGTTACGAGTGTAATCAGTCGTTCAGCAGCTTTCTTGCAGCCAGGAGGTCATTGGATATTACTGTTTCGTTGGAATTAATTAAAACTGTTGTCCGATAGAGTCGGAGGACCAAGGGATTAGATAGAATTCAATAAAATTGAATGGAACACAATTAAATACGAACGACTAGCGTTTCGATAGGACGTAAATGATGGATTACACACGATTCGTCACGGAGATCTCAAACAGACGGAAACCCAGCGTTATTCGGCAATGGGGTGAGAACGGTCGCTACTGTTTTAGGTCGTAATGCCAGAACTCTCATAATTTCCGAGGAATACTTTTATAAAGATGAAAAACATTGTGTGCTACATAGCGAAAAAATTCGCGGAAACCCCGAACGGTATCAGTTTAGGAAATGGGATGCCAAACACCAAAACCTTTCCGTTTGAAGAAATTTCTGTGAAGATCAAAGATGGCGATGAAATAAAGCTTGTAGGGGAGGAACTGCGTTGGTCCCTTCAATATGGTCCATCGCAAGGGTAATTGTTTTTTGTCTTTCCATTACAACGTTTTTATTTTTAAATTGATTGATTATGATCGTTTTATAATTTATTTTTTATATGAGCTAATTTAATTAATCTGTTGAGTAAAACGTTTGTTTGATTCGGATTTTCAATTCTGTATTTCTTACGACATAAGTGTGAACTCGTTAAATGATTCGTTAATTGCTTCAAGACACTTGCCACTATTGAAGAAAATGAGAGAATATCAAGAATATTGGCACAAACCGAAACAGAATGATTGGGACGTGGTTTTCACATCGGGATCGATGGAAGGGTGCACCAAGGTTTTCGAAATGACTCTGGAAATCGGTGACCCAGTGATGGTTCAAGTTCCATGTTACAATGGAGTTCTGAATTCGGTAAACGTTTACTTGTCTACCATTTTATCTTTATGATTCACGTTTCGAAATAAGGATCGACTCATTTCGGACGAAACAGAAATATTTACAACTTGTTATTTTCAGCTTGCACCACTGATGCCGGAATTTCTTGAAATCGGGCAAGACCAAGATGGAATAATTCCTGACGAGATCGAGAAAACTTGCAAAGAGAGATTGCAAAATGGAAAACCTATGCCGAAGGTATTCATACACGTTCAAAACAATTATTTTTAGAATTAATTTCAAATATATTCAACAATGTAATTATTGTAATTATTTTCCAACTTTACGATCAGTAATTATAAATTGTAATATTCTCAACCCCATTCTGTTTTAACTCGTTTGTTTTTCCCTAACGTAACAAGTGGTCGTAAATCAATATCATGTGCTCTAATGGACCCGATGGGGTAATATCATTCACGACACGATTTACGTAGGTACGACTGTGTACGTCAGATTGTATTAATCGTGGATTTTATCACCCCCCTATCTAGAACGGTGGAAACGTTCCAGTGCTTTCGTGGTTTATGTACTCGCTAATTCGTGAAGATTCCAGCCATGTTCAACTGGTCGCGCGTTCATTAACAATTTACGACTGTTTTGTTTTCAAATTAGATGTGGCAATTTGATAACCGTTGCCAGCAGGACCCGAATTCTCGAAAACTCGCGAGTTTAAAATGTTGTAAAATGTAACTTCTTTTTTTCTTCATGCGACTTCGTAAGACAAAAATGGCTGCCATTGAAGAATCTCATCCTTCAAATCACCTATTAATCATTACGATACTCACCATAAATAAATTCATTGATCGATTAATTGATTAATAAAAAGAAAGTACTTCTTCTTTTACCAACGATTGAGATTAACATCTCTCATATATAGAAAACAATTTGTACACACGTTGTATATTTCAATTTAATTAAAACATGATCGAGAAAATATTCTGAATTGAAAATACAAAAGCTTTATTGAAATTACAAAATACTATACTTTCATAAAATTCATAGTTTAATTGTATACATTTTTAAATGAAAAGCACACGTTTTGTTTCTTCCAGGTTATCTATATCAATCCGGTAGCTAATCCCACGGGAACAGTCCTGGCTGAATCCCGGCGAAGGAAAGTCTACGAGTTGGCTCAACAGTACGATTTTCTAATCGTCGAGGACGATCCCTATTGCTTCCTCCATTTCCTCGAGAAAAGACCTGTATCGTTTTTGGAATTGGACACTGACTGTCGTGTGATTCGGTTGGATTCCTTCAGCAAAGTTCTTAGCGCTGGACTGCGATTAGGCGTTGTTACAGCTCACAAGGAATTCATTAAAAGATTGGTCCTGCACATGGAGACTACGAGTATACACGCATCCTCGTTGTCACAGGTATAAATCCAATTTTGAAAATAAACCATCTATAAAGAAATCTGATTTATTTTCTGATGATAAATTCGATTATGATTTCTCAATCTATTATTTATTAAATCAAATTACGTAATTAATTAATTCAGGTTCATGACAAATTAATGCAAAATCGAATGACGAACGGTATTAAATTAATAATGGAGATTATTTATACTTTGTCTTACGCCAGTGTATGTTTCATTAATTACAGATGCTATTATACAAATTATTGAGCACGTGGGACATGCAGAAACTGCAACAGCATTTCGATGGTGTCCGAAAATTCTATCTTGATAGGCGAGACATTATGCTGGCAACGGTTCAAAAACATCTTACGGGTAATTACCTGTGAATGGTCGTTTCTATTCGTTTGTAGTTACATCGTTTTATTTCGTGTCCATTAATTTTCTAGACAATTAAGATGATTAATGGATAATTAGTTAAATTCATAAAATAGATTCTATCGAAGAGGATTATCCAAGACAATGCATCGATATTTTCGTTTGTTTATTCTAATGAGAAAATGAATTTATTTAATTAAAATATTTTTAAGTTATCTTCCACTTGGTTAATATGATTTTTATTTTTAGGGTTAGCAGAATGGAATGTTCCCGAGGGTGGAATGTTTATTTGGATAAAAGTACCTGGCATTAATGATGTAATGGAGTTAGTGGAGAAGAAGTGTGTTTCCCATGGAATATTTCTTATTCCTGGGCACGCTTTTAATTGTGATTTTTCGAAACCTGACCAACATATTCGACTCTCTTTCAGTTATGCAACTCCAGAAGAGATTGAGAAGGTTTTTTACTTATTCAATTTAGTCTTCAGTTATTTATACATCTGTCGCTTTTATGTTATTTATTCATTTTATGTACATACTTTTCTTCTATTCTTAGGCACTGTCAACTGTGGCGAGGCTAATACGTGAAGAAATTATAAAGCAAAAATAAAACAGAAACTCTAGTAACATTACCAAACGTACGATGAAGATGATCATATAAATAATTATTTATTTAACCATTTACTACCTTGCAGCAGCTAAGATGGGAACTTCAAGCGCAGCTCAAGAACTTTCTGTTAAAGAAGTCGCGAATGGAAAATAGCAGAAAATTAAAATATTTAAAAGTTATTATATTTTAAAAAACGTGAATTCACAGCAGTGACCGCAAATGCGTTGAAAGTACTGGTTAAATTTCATCAAATTTCCCACACTGTCTCGTTTCATATCTACATACTTATATAAAATTATCCGAATTAATAACAAGGAAAGTATTATTTCCACCCTCGTCCCCCAAGGGGATTCGCTTATTGTCACGGAGCGTTCCTCAAGAACAATGTACACGACTTACACTGTGTATAACAAAACCCCCTACGATCTCGAAACCAAACAGTTGTCTTTCGACAAACAAATAATAGAACACTTGTTTCCATCTCCGTATCTATATTTTTACAGATATCAAAATAAAAAAAGATATACGTGTTGAGCATAAAATGTTGAAACAATATCCTCCGTTGATTTTCATTTAACGCTTGTATCAGAGAAACGACCGATTGTGCTTGTGTAAGTTGCAATTGTTTAATGATTATCAGACTTTTGACAATAGAATGACTTTCGTTTTTCGAGAGTTAATTCCTTGTCCTACAACAACGTGTGAGACTCGTGATACTTCGTTCGGACCAAATGTAAACAACATAAGCCTGACTCGTGGTACTTCACTCGAGACAAACGTAAACAACACAAGTCAGACTCGTTCAGTTGTTCTCGATATTTTCTTACTTTAGTTACGTGTAATTTTTCGTTACGTTCACACGTTTAGATCATAATTTCCTAAAAGAAATTTAAATTTTGCGAAAGGTCAAGCACACGGCTAACCAGGTAAATGGTTAGACGCGTGACCGATCTTCTTATTTATTGTGGCCCGAGCAATCGGTAGTTAGCGGGTAAAACAAGGGCTTAAGTTAATCGCGACAATAAGATTGAAGGAAATTACGTAATTAAATTAAATAATCTTCCGCGATAAAGCCCTATTAGGAAATCGTTATCTCGATCTTTACTGATAGCTCATTAAAAATTCTAATAGATAACACACGAGTTTAAATTTAAAAGATCAACTCCTTAACAGCGATAATTTCCATTTGATGCGTTCGCAGAAATTCACTTTTTCGTTCTAATCGCTTTTCAATATTTTTTCTCAGTATATCCTCGCGACAATCGCTAAACGGTGATCTTTATTCTAATTGGCTATTAATTACATCATTCAAGACCTGACTAGCTGATTTCTTTCATTGCATTTCAATTTGATTTACAGTGTTGTCTCGCGCAAAAAAATTTCCGCGGTTAAACGGTTGAAGGAGAGATAGATCTTTGAAAAATCAGATACAATCATATTAACGAAACAACCTGTATATTTGTTTGTTCGTTCATTATTTACACTACGTTATTTCGGAATTCTCTCTGTACCCTGTGTTTGCGTTGCAACAAATTATTGGACGATCCCATTTGGCACATTTGCTCTCCGATGAAACTGAAACGTATCGGGCCTTTTTTGTCAGCGAATAACGATAACCCGAAGTATAGATAACGGAATAACGTTCATTAAAAGGCGTATCAAGTGTAATCAGCCGCTCAATAGCTTTCTGACAGTGAGGAGGTCATTGGATATTACTGTTTCGTTGATATGAATTCAAACTGATTTTCGATTGAATCAAAGCCCCGAGTGATTTCATAAAATTCAGTGAATTCAAACAGAACACAATTAAATACGAACAACTAGCGTTTCGATAAGACGTAAATTATGGATTTCACACGATTCATCACGAAGATCGTGAGCAGACGGAAGTCCGGCCTTCTTCGGAAATGGGGTAAGAACGGTCGCTACTGTTTTAGGTCGTAATGCCAGAACTCTCATAATTTCCAAGAAATACTTTTATAAAGATGAAAAACATTGTATGCAACATAGCGAAAAAATTCGCGGAAACACCGAACGCTGTCAATTTGGCAAATGGGATGCCAAACGCTACAACCTTTCCGTTCGAAGACATTTCTGTGAAGTTCAAAGATGGTAACGAAATAAAGCTAGTAGGGGAGGAACTGATTGCGTCCCTTCAATATTGTCCATCTCAGGGGTAATTTTTCCTTAGGACTTTCCATTGTAACGTTAATTTTATTTCTATATTAATTAATTATAATCTATTTTTAATTTGCTTTTTTATACGAGCTACTTTAATTAATCTGTTGAGTTAAACGTTTGTTTGATTCGGTTTTTCAATTCTGTATTTCTTACGACATAAATGTGACCTTGTTAAATGATTCGTTAATTGTTTCAAGATACTTGCCACTATTGAAGAAAATGAGAGAGTATCAAGAATATTGGCACAAACCGAAACAAAATGAATGGGACGTGATTTTCACATCAGGATCGTTGGATGGGTGCAGCAAGGTTTTCGAAATGACTCTGGAAATCGGGGACCCAATGATGATTCAAGTTCCATGTTACGAAGGTGTTCTCCATTCGGTAAACGTTTACTTGTCTACCATTTTATCTTTATGATACACGTTTCAAAATAAGGAACGACTCATTTCGGACGAAACAGAAATATTTACAACTTGTTATTTTCAGCTTGCACCACTGATGCCGGAATTTCTTGAAATCGGGCAAGACCAAGATGGAATAATTCCTGACGAGATCGAGAAAACTTGCAAAGAGAGATTGCAAAATGGAAAACCTATGCCGAAGGTATTCATACACGTTCAAAACAATTATTTTTAGAATTAATTTCAAATATATTCAACAATGATGATTTACAATATATGATCTACAAACGTGTAGACATATTATTTTTCATTTTAATCAATGTTCCTTATAATTATTTTCCAACTTTACGATCAGTATTATAAATTGTAATATTCTCAACCCCATTCTCTTTTAACTCGTTTGTTTTTCCCTAACGTAACAAGTGGTCGTAAATCAATATCATGTGCTCTAATGGACCCGATGGGATAATATCATTCACGGCACACGTTTTGTTTCTTCCAGATTATCTATATAAATCCGATAGCTAATCCCACAGGAACAGTTCTGACTGAATCCCGGCGAAAGAAAGTCTACGAGTTGGCTCAACGGTACGATTTTCTAATCGTCGAGGACGATCCCTATTGCTTCCTCCATTTCCTCGAGAAAAGACCTGTATCGTTTTTGGGATTGGACACTGACTGTCGTGTGATACGGTTGGATTCCTTCAGCAAGATTTTTAGCGCTGGTCTGCGATTAGGTGTTGTTACAGCTCACAGGGGATTCATTAAAAAATTGGTCTTGCACATGGAGACCACGAGTATACACGCATCCGCGTTATCACAGGTATTAATCCAATTTTGAAAATGAACCATCTACAAAGAAATCTGATTTATTTTCTGATGATAAATTTGATTACGACTTCTCAATCCATTATTTATTAAATCAAATTACGTAATTAATTAATTCAGATTCATGGCATATTACATCATTGTTTGTTTCATTAATTACAGATGCTGTTATACAAATTATTATGCGCGTGGGACATGCAGACGCTGCAACAGCATTACGATAGTGTCCAAAAATTCTATCTTGATAGGCGAGACATTATGTTGGCGTCGGTTCAAAAACATCTTACGGGTAATTTCTTGTGAATGGTTGTTTCTGTTCGTTTGTAGTTACATCGTTTTATTTCGTATCCATTAATTTTCATTAACTTCCTGATTGTCTACAAATAGTATCCTTAGTAATATATGAATGTTATATCCATATTTTATATTCAGCGAACGTAGCAATGATTAAGGATAATTAATGAAGAATTACCTGAATTCATAAAATGGACTCTATCAAAGAGGATTATACAAGATAATGCCTCGACATTTTCGTTTGTTTATTCTAATGAGAAAATGAATTTATTTAATTAAAATATTTTTAAGTTATCTTCCACTTGGTTAATATGATTTTTATTTTTAGGATTAGCGGAATGGAATGTTCCCAACGGTGGAATGTTTGTTTGGATAAAAATTCCTGGCATTAATGATACAATGGAGTTAGTGAAGCAGAAGTGTGTTTCCCATGGAATATTTCTTCTTCCTGGTCACGCTTTTAACTGTGATTTTTCGAAACCTGACCAATATGTTAGACTCTCTTACAGTTATGCAACTCCAGAAGAAATTGAAAAGGTTTTTTACTTATTTAATATTTCAGAATCGTCTATATTTAATTTATAATATATAATTTAATATGAATTCAAATCTGTAACATGCTTTTCTATTGTTCTTAGGCACTGTCAACTATAGCGACGATAATACATGAAGAAATCACAAAGCAAAAGTGAAAAATAAACTGTATTAACATTCTCGAACGTATTATAATATGATTTAATAAATAAGTACTTATTTAACCATTTACTACGATTCTTGTGGCGATTAAGATAATTAGGATTTTGAAAAATATTAGTCGGTAATCAGAACAAGTAATTCTCGTAGGGAATGGAATAAATTATTAAGTATAGTAGTGGATACATAAGTTAGATAACTTTTTTCATTTTGATTAGATAAATGTATAAATATTAGATTTATATTGAAAAATTTCATACTCAATTTAAAAAATCGGGGGTTTGTTTCTTATTTATTTATTCTTTTCTATTATTTCTCGTATCAAATAAAAATGATAACTATTAATGGAAGAGTACACCATAAAAAAACCTATAAAGAAAATAGATTCTTTTATTAAATTTATGCATGTATAATCAATTAAGCGATGCCAGTACCTTACAAATTTTGAATTCAAATCGATTATCGCAATCGAAGTATCAATTACCTCGATGAAAACCAATTTCGATATAGCATTATCGATATGGTTTTAAATTTGCAAAATAATCTTTACTGATCATGAAAGAAAGCAAAATATAAAATTCTTTTTCCACGAGGGAGATTTAGTGTTATGAATAGTTAAGAAATAACCCCATAAAAGAATATATAAACAACCTGACGCTATGATTCAGAACAGGTTAGGTTATCTCCGCTTACATTAATCAGCTGTGCTAAGTTCGAACTGAAAATTCGTGAATAATCGTTAAAGGAGTCTGATTTCATAAACTTACATGTTACTTATATCTTATATCTCTTAAATTAACTAATTGTTTAACAGCTCTAATAATAATTTTGAAAAGGTATTCGTAAAAAGAGTAGTGTTCCTGTGAGTAAAAAAAAAATGAGCGAAATCCAGGAAACCGAAAACGACAAAGTGGAACCAAATGTCGTTTTGGAAACCCAGGATTTTGGGGAAAGTGAAATTGAGAAATTAAAAGGGGATCATGTGGGGAGTACTATTTATAGTGCCAGGTGGATACTTAATACTTTGCTCTCAGTATCTAAGGTAACTAGTATGAACTTCTTTGCTTCATAGATTATTATTCTTGTTGTTATTTTCCTTTTACTTTGTTATTATTTAGAATTCTGTTTCAATAAAATATACTATAAATTGTTGAAATTTTCTTTCGAATAATAGTCTTTTTACTTAAAATAGATTCAAGTTTGAATTCGTTAATGTAAGGGTTCTCAAAAAGTGCTAATATTATGAAAATATTCTTAATGTTAATCATATAAAAATTCGATTAATTAATATAAATAGTACATTATTAATTGTTTTATTATTAAAATTCTTTGTAAAATTTTCATATAAATGTCACCTTTAATACCATGATTGATTTAAAGCTATTATACTTTACTGTGTTTAATTGTATATCATAGTTGTTGCCTGGGATTAATTTACAAATTAGAAAATATCATGAACTAATTCTTAAAAATTATATTTTTGTAATATCAGCAAAGTTTTATGTCAATATTATATTGAAAATAATTTCAATAATATATCCTAAAGGTTCCTGAAAATGGCTGGAATGAGAATCTGGAAATTGATCTTTGCGCAATATGGGATATATCAACGGAAAAAGATATTGTTCAATTCCTTATGGATAATGACTTCTTTAAAATTGCAGAGTTCTCATTAAAATCTTCTGAAGAACCAAGATTAACGGTACAATTTATTTCAAGATTACTTAATCTCTTATGTCTGTATTTTATTTACTCAATAAAATCGTCACAAAATATTCCCTGAGTTCCATGATTTTGAAAATTGAATGTCCTTATTTTATTAATTCCATTAAACCTTCCTAATGTATTATTTCCTTCCAAAATTGTTTGTATTGTATATAAAATTACAAATAATGTAAACAATTAGTTATATTAACAAACATATTTTTACTTTATTTAATCCTATGTCATTTTCTTTTACACAGAAATGTTTGTTTCTTTTTCTTTTTTTACATACAAAGTTAAATAACTTACTTTTCTATTCTAAACGTAATATAATAACTTTGCATTTGTTTAAGTTTAATTTTTGAATGTAGCATTATATTTCCACACATATGAAGCTCAATAACTATGAATAATGGTAACTTTTTTATATTTATAAAGAAACTTATAACTTGTTCATCATACTATATCACTCCTGCACATTATACTTGTAAAATATCTTTAATTTACACTAAACAATTTTTACAAATTTGTTTAGCGATTTGCATAACTCAACACTAACAATAATGGTTTATATAATTTATAGGAAATCATTTTGGGAATAATTGCAAATATGGCTTGTGAATCATCTGCACTTGATGTATTAGGAACTAAAGAAGAACTCCTTGATACAATTCTCCGTCATCTGTTCTCAGAAGATAGTGCTACATTGGTACAAATTCTTAGATTGTTACGCTCTGCACTTTGGAATATTCAAAGTAATCCAGATTCAAACTGGAGAGTCAATTTAAGGAACTCTACTTATTTGAGAGAAGTAATTCCTTTTATTTTAAAAAGCTCTACAAATGGTAAGTTAATAACTTTGTATCAATGTTAACATTTTTTAATTATTTTATACATTTTCAGTCATTAGATGATTTTAAAATTCATTACTGATTACGTAATAATTTATTACAGAGGAACTTTTAATTGCGACAACAAATTTTCTAAGATCATTGGCAGAAATTGATCTTCCGATTGGAAAAACATTATTAGATGAGCTTTTTGAATCATCTAGTTTTCTGCCAGGTATAAAATTATGACATATTTTCTAATTATAATTGGTGAAACTGAGAAATACAATTCCTTCTTAATAAAAATCATTAATATATTTACAGGCATGTTAGAATCATTTGAGGAAGTTCTTCCTCAAGATGAAGCTTCCTATTCAACTCCCACTTTAAAATATCTTGAGGACTGGTTAGAATTATTCTCCAGTCTTCGGAAAGGACCCCAAATTCATCAAGAAATTTTACAAGATGATAATCTAACACGAACTGTAGAAATTACACGAAGAATTTTAGCAAATTTTATAGATCCGTGGAATCTTTGTCCTTTAGACGAAACCAAGGCTTCTTGTGTACATAGATGTGCAGAAATGATTCTTGATTTTCGATGGAAAGGATTTTTGAGAGCAGAATCTACAATAGATATAAATGATGCAATTCTAAGAATTATTATCAATATTAACACAGGTAAAAATAATTCATTCATACGAAGCAAGTAAAAATTCTTATTAAAAATTAAAAATGATTATTTTATTAATACAATTTACGTTAAAACCACGCAAATATTTTTAGCAATGAAAGAAGAAGAAGAAGATTCTGAGGAAACAATGGAAGAATTATTAAAGTATCTTGAGGGTTACTGGGTCGAGATAGCAAAAGTTTCTACAACAGACGAGATTATAAAAATCTTGAAAACAAATGACAAGCCAATTGTAGATCATGCAATAAACTTATTAAAGTCAAAGATTCCTGGAGAGAAATTTAACAGTTTAGTAGAAGGACTAACGAATAATTAAGAGTAAAGTTTATAATGAATTAAATAGTTAAACGAAAGTTTGAATTATCATAAGCAGTATATGTCTCGTATCATCGACGGGAAAAAGAATAAAAATTCTTTGTCTCGGAACATTGAACATTTTTATCTTTACAAGCAAAATACTCTTTTCTCGTTATATACAAACCTCGTAGTAATGTTACAAACGAGCTCGTACTTTATACAAACTTTTGTATCGTCTTCTTATATTCTTATATTCTCCGTTTATATTAAAATATTTTTTACTGTCTTCTAATTAACATATTTTTATGCTTCCCTACCAAACAGGTTCATGAATAAAAGTACACATTGTTCTACAATTTTATTGCAATAAAAATTTGAGTATTTTATGTAGTACATTAATAATATACAGTTTATAGGTACAAACGGAAGATTAGTTCTCCCTTTTTCTATTTCCATCTTCTCTCTTGTTTTAGTCCGTTCTGTTCTTAATTATTACCTGTTCACGTATAATCTTCATTCCATTTTTAATCTTTCCATCATACTTTGTTTCATCGTCTCCTCTTCTGGTGTATTGAGTTTCCTCTATTTGTTTCTGTACGCGATTCTTCCGATGACGTCCTCTTCCTTCGCCCTTGGAGATTTATTTTTAATCCCACTCTCCGATGTACATTGCTCTAGGCTGAGGAGGAATTACACCTCTAGTCGGTAATGGAAATCGTCCGTATATATGATTATACGGTGATTCGTTTCTGCCATCAGAATCTGTAACCCAAAGAAATCAATTGTGTGATCGTTTGTTACTACCACTTAGTTGATGCTTGTTCAAAATAAAAAATATATGTATATATAATACCAAGTCCACTTTCGAAACTTCTTGCATGATACATAATTGGTGGTCGATTCCCAGGTAAATGGCCATAAATTTGAGAAGATTGACTGCTCGCATATCCTGTGGCAGCGTAAGTGGGCGCTTGTGGGGGTCTGGCGTATCCTCTTGTCGAGACTTTACTATTTTTCGCCATTTTGACAAAATTAGGAACACGAGCTCGTAATCCGCAATAATACGGATCGTCTATAAGAGAAAAATTAAGTTTTCTTTAAATTATATACATACAAAATTATTATAAATTAATATTATAAATATATAATTGTTACAAATTATATATCAATTTTTTATTACCATATTAACACGTATAATCTATACAACTTTATTTAAAAGAACAATAACAAATTGCCGTGCATTACCGTATTTCTTCTTATCGTCGTTTCTTCTTTTTTCTTCGTTCGCTATGACGGGTTTCCTGGCATAGTCATCTTCTATATCGTCATAATCAGGCTGAAATTGTAAAATAAAATTATAGTATCACATTGTCTCGCTGCATTAACATTGTAAGCGATATAATAACTATAAAACGGATCGACAAAGTGAACTGTAGTCCAATCATGTTAACCCATTGCGGACGAACGTCGACGTTTCCGCGAGATGAAATGTTCACATTTGGAACACTAAATACCGAACAAATGATTTAATTACCCAAACAGCGAGAGGTCGGCATGTAGTTTCCCTACTCTCTATTATTTAACCTGTCAATATCTAATTTGTCAGAATCTGCAGAAGGTTTTGTATGTTTCGAAGAATCTTCGTCCACAAAGGGTTCAAACTTCGATCCAGCTATTGAGTTGTAATACTTTCATGAATAATTGTAACTGTATAAAAAGATAAAATATGCACTTTAGGTATGTCGTGGCCATAAAGATTCTCTCTGGGCGGAAGTTTCGGTGGTTTCTCGGCTCTTCTTTGTCTACAACTCGTCGACTGAGCGTAGATCTGGTCTCGGGCGTCTCGATCCTGCTGGAAGGCCTCGGAGACTCCAATGGAGGACGAAACTCCAGCTACGCTGTATGGATCTTCATCGGGAATCGGTATCCTGGGTCTGTTCTTTATATCGACCGGCCTTTGTAACGCTAAGACTAATTTACATAAATGTCATTAATAAATTTTCCATTCTATTCGTATGCGTATTTAACACGTTGAATGCCATGGGGGTCACCGGTGACCCCCAACCGAATCGAATTACTATAGCTCACTCAATCAAACAATGATTATTTGAAAACGTTTCTATATTATAAATAATGCTGTCTAATGCGGTGACATCCAGCTAGATGAACGTGCGATAATAATAATGCAATTCAATCGAATGATTTGATATTATATTCTTTCCATTTTGTGTATTTTGCTCTCTGAGATCGTGCGGCATTTAACGTGTTAATTGACACGTTCACGACCAAATTGCTTGTTTGCGATCTTCGTAGTTAAAATGTTTTATTGAATACAGCAAATCATCTTTACAAAATGAAAATCAAATTTAAGAAAAAGATCTCGTCAATTTCCTGCAGGTTACACTGTATGTTACGATTTTAGATGGGAAAGCACTCGTGAAAGTAATTTCATTTTCTCTACGTAAAATATAAAATGCTGAGCGTCAAAAATATGTGACGCTGGTCACCAAGGTGTTAAACGTTCATTGCATTTAGATATTTTGATAATTAAATCGCAATTATTTTAGTATATTAATATTAGCTTCCACGGATTAACTGAACTCTTTAACTTACAATATCGTATCAGACTCGTGACGAAAATTTCAAACTGAATTTGACAAATCTAAGTGTCATTTATTTTTGTTCAGTAAATGAAATATTACTTTTCCATTATCAGTCGTTAATCTTCGGAGTAAACGAAAATTTCTCTTCTTAATAAATTATAAAAGTAGTTGTATCGATCATAGTTGAGAAAGAAATCATAGGGCAACGGGTTAATGGATTAGAATAAGAGAAGAAGAAATTTAAATCCGTCTTGCTTCAGGCATCGATGACAAGATTACCAAAATAAAATAATATTTTGGTGCCGTACCTGGTGGTAACTTGGATTTCAACATGTCCAGGCCAACAACGTTAACAATGAGAACCCAAACGGGACATTGAAGTAGATCTGCTTCGGTTCTGACGAAAACGATAGCGCTCAGACACTGCATCTCCAGTCTTCTTCTGTCGGGATAGGCTCTTCGAGTTTCTCGGGAAAGGTTCGTTTGAAATTTATTCATGTCGAATACCTAACGAGTGCAAACAAGGGCAATAATCATAACCATCAGAACAAACAACAATTTTTTGTTTCAAGAAGCTATTCTGACACAAACGATCAATAACGAACATATGAAAGGTATACAGTCTCTGATCAAAAAATTAGAGCCACCATTGATACCATCTTAGAGAAAATCAGCAATGATATATTATAACTCAAGTTTAAGTTCTTTGCTTAATTTTGGATCTTAACACTATGATAAACAAGTTGTCAAATCACCTTTTGAACCTGCAATACCATAATTAATAAAAAGCGTTAAAAACTGTGGCACAAAGCTTTTGATTGGGCAGTATACAAATAAACTTATATAGAAATACGGTAATCATTGAACGTCGACTTTCGATTACAAGAAATTGCATTACAGATTGAAAATGCTTTTTCGTAATGCCAAAGGTGAACAATTGTAACAAGAAACGACAACGGTCGAAATAACGAGTGAAATGGCGATTATTACAGTCTAGTTCCTATGGATTTTCTTTAAAAAAATGAAAAAATAACGAGACCGCGGATTTTTGTGGTTATCGTTGGTAAAGGATGATTTCACTGATCGTAAAGGGCGAGAAAAAATGGCGCTCAAGTAAGAACGAAGCGAAGTCGTAGAACGCTTACTTTCCCTGGTTTCTCGTGTTCTAACGCTCCTTGAGAATTCCGCGCGATTTCTGCTCCAATTGCGTTGTCTTCCTGACTCGTCGGCTTTATGTAAACGTTATTTTTACACAGCCTTTTTATTAAGATATTCCCCTGCTCGTCCATCTTGATTTTTACACCTTGGTTTATGTGCTTTTTCGCCTCCTCGGTTTTCGCGTCTCTCATCGGGTTCTCGAAGCCGCATAGTCCTATCCTAAATTCCAAAACGTCGAGTGTAATTTCTTCGATTAATTTATAGAACGCTTGACGTATAATTAAATCATTGAACAGTTGGCTTCCCGTGTATGTGGCATAGATAATTATCTGGATTTCCGAATAATAAAAGCTTTCATAGATTGTTAATAATATAGAGAAATTGTTTCTCGCAAGTTCCTTGGAGACACAAGCTTTATCTTTATAACATATAACTTTTATTATAAAAATGTAACTGAATTATAATAAAAAACTTCATTTATAAGCATCTACGTGATTCATGGAAAAGAGACGGTGATTAACGATTGATTAATATTTACCTTATGCTTGTTAATAAGTTTATTAATGAGTTAGTTGTATTAGCATCTTTCATGATAATTCCTATTTGTTATCCGAATGTTTCGATCGCTCGTTCGACAATTCGTATCTTTTATTCAGAATGTTTATCGTATATTCAGATCTTCAAATATATCTTTCGAAGATGGTGTAACCGTTTATAATGTATAATACATTTATAAATATTTACATGCGTTATGTTTGAAGACTAGATGCTATCGAACTCTTCCTCTTCTTCTTTGGCAGTTGAAGAATCCCAAAGCGAGGAAAAAATATCGGTTGTTTCATTGTCATTCGGAGTTTTGATTAGTGAGCATTTTTAGTCGTATGAATCATTTGGTTTTACCTGAAACCATCGAATCCGTCGTTCGATCCGTTAATCGTGAGAACCGGTGCCCTGGCGTAGGCTTTTGCTACCCTTCGATTCCTTTCGAAAACGATCACCTTGGCCCAAATTTCGTCGTCGATCTGATTCCATTTGTCCAGCACTTCTTGAATGTGATCCTGAAACGAGAGCGACAACGATGTATTATTACCGAGAACCGTGTCGCGTGTGAACTTTTCATTAATTCTTCGGGATTCATCCTTCTACAATAATTATTAATTATTATTACTAAATAGTACAATCCATAATTGTCAATTAACTGTATAATTAAAATTATAATTGTAATTGTTAACATTTAAATAATAGAACGCATCATTGTTAATTAACTACATAGCTAAAGTTATAACTGCAATTGTTATCATTTAAACAGTAGAACGGATAATTGTTAAATTGTTCATATAAATACAGATTTTTGTAGATCACTCAATATCGAAATTCTTTACATGTTTTCATGGTTCATACAAAATAAAATGATGATTTTTACATAAGTATTATTAATAGGATTTACTAGGTTTCTAAATACAAGATACTTCTTATAAACAAATTTGGCAAATTCCATTTGTTTTTCAATTATTACAACTATAATAAACGTGAACAAAAACTGTAACAACACAAGTACAAACATAAATTTCTTAGGATGCGTACGCGAAAATTCCATGAAAATTTATGTTATTCACCTTGTACAATTTGTCGAGGTTGTACCACACGTCCTCTTCGTCTTGGTCCTCGTACTGTGATTCGACAAGGTTGTCTCTCGATCGAGACAGAATCTTCCGCCTCGATACCATTTTTCCACCGAAAGACGGTCAACCTGTGCGAGAAACAAAAATGCCCATTTCTCAAAATGCAGTTGAATCTCACAAATGAAAGAAAACAAAATTCTTGCCAACAAAACATAATTCGGAAAGGTTAACGAAAACTCAAAAAGCAAATAGGACTTTAGAGCCATAAAGTACCAACGACCGTCAACAAACTCTGACAGTTCGTGGATGGTAATCAACCAATCGTCAACTAGATAATAAACCATTTTATTTTCTCCTGCGAGGGTTCAATGATTACGATCGCCAGCCTGAAGCGTCGTAATCGTCGATCAATGAGCTCCCGGCAAAGATTTATGCCTTTTCGATCGAAAGTCACCGCCGCGCCGTTACGTAACACCGTCTATCTGGAAATAATTTCGATTTTTACGGTAAACCGAAACTGTCCACACTTTCACCGCAGCGTGCAACATTACTGCAACGCGGCGAACCCGCGTTGCCAATAAATGATAATCGACCGATAAAAATGCCCGCTTATTTTTCGTTTGTAGCCGTTCAACCGTTGCTGCCCAGTTCGTTACCGGTTGAGACCTTCGCTCGGCTTAAAGCCTGAATTTTAACACGTTTCTTACCAGCGTTGCATATTGGCGATAATGTTTCACGTTCCGTGCAAAGAAGAGTCAACGTGCGTTCTCATCTAATAGCGTGACACATGGTATACTGCGGAGGAAGTCGGAGATATTTCTTTTCTTGATTATTATTTGTATTACGTAAAGACGGTATGTTTTGTTCAATAAAATATCGTAACCGCCGAAACTGTTATCGACAGGATTTGCCTGGTAACGAATGGGTTAATTATTCCTTTTTTATACGCCCCCGTGACTGAACTTAATGCAAGCTCATTCTTTATAATCCATTGGATTATACGGTGCACGCTTCACTTTAAGTGTTACAGTGCCGCGTATTTTATAGTCATCATTATTGCCCGGATTAAAGAACGTTCACGCCAATTCAGATCTTAAGGACTGGTTTTTCACAGTTTACAAGGATTATCATCGGTAACGGTCTTATTGGCTTTGAAGTATCTTAAAATTCTTAATGAAAGATCGTTCCTCGGAATCTTCTATCTGTTTATGACTCAACTTTGAGGTCGTCTATTACAATTTACACCTTATTCTGTGGAATTGCGTACGGACAGGACCTCGTGTCGTCATCATTAATTCTTTCGAGTCATTATGATTCAACGAGGTTCTCGGAAAGAAAATTGGGCTGTGATACGTAACTACCTAGTTTGATAGTGTTAACGATGAATGAATCGTTGGGAAAATAATTCAGAAATTTGGAAACAAATTTCTAAATTTTATTTTCGTACGTACAGGGCGTTTCGTAGATTTCAGAAAATAAAACTTTAGAAAATAATACTCTGTGACTTAAGATAGATTAATATTAAAAAATACTTTATGAAAGAAACGTGATACCTTACAAGCATAAATGTTCAAAACTGTATTACACATCCTTAGTCTACTCGTCATAATTTGTACTTTGCCACAGCGGGTGGGCCAAAAAACAATTATCATTTGTAGCTTCAATTATATTAATACGAAATCGAATCATTATTCTTCGAAGAAATAACTTAATCTATATCTCATCCTCCTTTCACCGCATTCTTCACTTAAATCCAATAACAATAATATAAAATTAAACTATTAATAACATTTCAACCAGAAATCGATCGATAACTTTCTCAACTACTCTTCTACACTAAACCGAAACTAAATATTTAACACTAACAGTACTGCCATTTTTTCTACCATTTCTACCTTCTCTACCAAGCTAAACAAGTTACATGATACATGTTTTAGTGGAAGCAGAAACAGAAGAAAGGGAAAAAACCGGGAAACTGATTAATCGAAAAGTTAAATGAACGAAAGAAAACAGAATTTTAAGCCCGATCATTTGAAATTCACGGTTCAGTTACTGCTAAAATACCTTTTCGGGTAATCCCAAAAGTCATTGGGTAAATCATATTACTCTCAAACGACTCAGTATGTAATTCAGCCTGAAAATTGAAAATAATTGCCAGATCTCTGGAAAAATTCCTGGCTAATTGGCGGGTAAAGTTCGAACCGAAAATTTGACCGGACTTCAGGCCCACCCTGTATTTCGCGTGTTTGCTTATGCTAGAAATGCATAAACACTCGCAAGCCGCTAATAATTCACCATTTGGAGAAGCGGCCAGCCTCTCGCCACCATGGATCGCCGATGGAGGGGGAAACGAATGGGCCAACGAGAGTGGCTCGGCGGTTGAAAAATTTTCTAAACGTATTGCGACTGGTGAAGGGGGCAGTTGGTACGGCTCTGCCGCGGCACTCAGCCTTCGCATTCTTCGGAGAGAAGTGAAAGCCAAGAGTTTCAGGGAAACTCGACGCGGAATCGAATCCCCTTTTCCATCGGCTCCGCTCGGCTCAGCTCGGCTCGGATCGGTTACACTGCGAGAATTTTTCTTTGCCGGACCCGTACAACCAATACGACCGGAGACAAATTTCCTCGTCACCCTTGAAAACTCGCAGTTCGAAATTCTGAAAATTACATCCGCGACCGGGAACCGTTGTATCCAATCGAAAATCGAATTATCCAATTATTTCTTGTATTTGATTATATTAATTGAATGATTAATTAACACTTCTCGCGGTCGTTGACTTAACACGTTCGCTACCAGCGTTTATTTCGGTGAGGACCTCCTCAATTATAATATTTTATACAATCCAATAAATCTTGTAAACAAAGTATCGAAAAAATGAAACTGGAACAAGTTATTGAGTTTCTAAATACAATGTCGTAGCATATAACTTTAAATAACAATATCTGTAAGATTAATCTCATTTCCTTTATTTGTAAAATAGAAGATCGCTGTCACAAATATGTGACGCTGGTAGCGAACGTGTTAAATTCACCACTTTTCTAATTCTATTCTTTCAAAATATTTGATTCCTCTGCTCTTCTCCGTTTGGGACTTCTTTGAGAATGTTCTGCGCTTCGAACAACAGACCGTTAGAAGACTAATATTTCGAAACGAATTTTTGAAGTTTTGTCTCTGTTTCGACGAGAGAATTTTGCGGCCATTGGCTAAAGATTTTCTTTATTTTTACCGGCAATCAGTAATATAAAAGCGAGAAATATTTTTTTGTTTAAATAGGTATTATTGAGAATTATTGGCGATGAACGAGTAGAGTTTGATGTAAATTTGTTGTAGCACACTGCATCCAGCCGCAAGCGATTTTCGCGATTCTTTGTTCCGTTCGTTATTCAATTTGATCATTTTGCGTTACTTGCGCCGGCCATTTTTATTTTCAAAAACTGGTTTAGGTTTCATAACAGCGCTCGCTCAACCGAACCTCGGCCTTGCACGCCACATTTGTTTCGCCGTGTGTTTCGTTTTCTTGGTTTGTTCGATAATTGTATTTATGTTTTTGTCGCGTTTTGTATCACGCCGTTACCATATTCCTACTTCCACTGTATGTCCGAGTATTTTTCGAAAGTCCGAAATACTAATCCACCGTTTCTAAGGAAGAAACAAAAAAAAAATGAAAGTGCTGTCATAAATATAACTATAAATATAAATTATCACAAAAATGTTTATGCCGTCGGTTTCTATAATTCTTAAATTGCGGACTAAGGAAATATTCAACATTTTTGGTCGAGTATTATGTTCTCGTTAAGTAATTTAACCCCTTGCACTATGAAGTCACCTCTGGCGTGACAAAACTACTTTTCCTTAGAATTCTCAAGTACCATACTTTACAAAATAATTAACAACGATAAACTAAATATTTGAATTTTGATGTTATAAACTCTTCGTGAACAATCCTTTTGTTAATAAAAACCTAAACTTTAAATACTGACACCACTTTCTTCATACCTAAAATCAGACACCAGAACCAGAAAAATTGAATCAGACTTGACACGGAACAAGCCAGAAAAATAATTATAGCGCAAAGGGTTAATATTCATATAGACGTTTCTTCTTCCTTTCCCCGTGCATACTCTTCGTTCGACGTTCATCCGTTATTAAGCATAATCGCCTTAATTCAAGCATTATTCGAAAAAGGAAAGAGATTCACTTTACAGCCGTAAAGTACACAAATATAAACATCGAGCATCGTCTTTGTAGGCTTTAACTGGTCTGTTCTAATTGGCCATTTAATGGCGCAATAAACCGGACTTCACGGCATAATGTTGCGTTAGTGTGTGAAATTATTTCGTTGCGCTTAAAAGGAGTCGAACTATCGTTATCCGTTAATTACCATTATCGAAATGAATTAGAACGAACGTTCCTCTATTAGTTATATCGCTTTTGCTAAATAATTATCCTTCCCCTTGTAACTATTCGCATTATTTCACTTGTTCCGCCGCGTTCGAAATCTTCGATGAATTATTAAGCACGAGAACGGTAAGCTCGTTTCAGTTTAACCCTTTACACTTTATAGGCACCACTTATAGTACCAAATATTTCAGTGAATAAATTTGATGAAAATTCGCTATGCGCGCAAATGTTGTGCAAAGAAGAAAATAAAATATCTAAGAAATGTTGTAACATAATATTTCTTTATGTTTCTCCAGGGATACTATGAAAATGGCATGGAGTTGCTGTTAAATTACAAAAACAACTGGATTGCTAAGGGTTAAATGTTCGTCGACCGATAGCAACCGATTCAGGTGAATAATGTAATGTAATTTTCATAATTTTTTTTCTCTTGCTTCGAATTGCCTTGAACTTTCTGCATGAAACGTCGTATTTACTTTTACATAATCACGCGGCCGATGCATGGCGGAATTCAATGATCTATGATAAGGAAGCCTTGAACCTGATTAGTCACGATTGAAACGACACACAGAGAGAAAGACAGAGATTCAGCCTGTGTTGCTCAATTTAAGGGGGGCACCACCTAAACGCGTCCTAAATATAGCCAAACATTTTGGAATTTTGTTGTTGCATACTTTTGTTGTTACTAACTATTAAGTGAAAAATTCCGATTTTTTCTGGGTACATAACTATAACCTTCTACTTTATATTTATATCTTTTCTAAGCCAGAATGTTACAAAATGGCGCAGTTATTCACTAGCTTTGGAACCACCCATTTTCGTAGAACATCCACTGTTGGTCGACCAGATTGCGAACAACCGAAGCATCCGAAGACAATTTTTGTAGATTTATAAACAGAAATATATTATCTAAAATGTAACGTACGGATTTTTTGATATCTCAATTATTTAATTTTCTATAAACATTAGAAGCTAATTCTGTGGAGTAAAAATAGGTTTTTGCATTTGAAATGCTTGCCATTTCCATAATAATTCAATTTTTGGAAAATCCTTACGGCATATTTTAGGTAACATATTTCTGTTTATAAATCCACAAAAACTATTGTCTTCAGATGTTTCAGTTGTTCGCAATCCGGTCAGCCAACGGTGGATGTTTTACGAAAATGGGTGGTTCAAAAGCCAGCAAATAACTGTGCCATTTTGTAACATTCTGGCTTAGAAAAAATATAAATATAAAGCGTAAAGTTACAGTTACGTACCCAGAAAGAATCAGAATTTTTCACTTAACATTTATTAACAAAAAAATTCTTAAAGTTTGCCTATACTTAAAACGTCTCTAGGTGTTGTCCCCCATTAAATCACCCGGATTTCTCTTTTAATTGTCGGGCACGCGTGTTTCAGAAAATATGAAACGAAGAAACCGCGCCGCTTACTATCAACTTTGTAATGCGATTTCACGCGATAAAATCGGAACAATCCATCATCTGTTCATTAGAGGAATTTATTACGGTAACCTAGACAGTGGAAACGGATGTCTGACGCGGACTAAGTGAATCTTACCGATTATGACTTGGCGGTGTACGGTAAAAACGGTCTGAATCATTCCATCCGTAGTACGTCTATAGTAGAACACAATTTTCAACTACTTTTTTTAGCGTT